CACATCAAAAACTAATGATGTATTGTATGGTGACTAACATAACATAATAAAATTAAAAAAAATAAATAAATAAAACCAAAGTGCCCAAATCTTCCCTGAAGACAAACTGGTTTTTGATGTCAGGTTTAGTTAAGGGCTGATGTTGCCATTTTAGCTTTTCCATTGTCCAGCGGGAAGGGGGTGAGGAAATTACCGGCACAAATGCACATGCACACACACATGCATACATGTGTATGTGTATGTGTATAAATATGGATGTGTGCAATATCGTCCATGTATGTGTATCTATGCTGTCATCTATCATGTAATGGTAGCTGTCCCTTTAAGATGGGTTTTTTTAATTAAACTTTTTTTTAAAACAGATTAAAAATTGGGGATTTTAATTTTAGGTTGAATTCACGTTTTCTTGTAACTCGGTCTCAAACTGCAATTCTTTAATTGACTGTTATGAACACTTGATACCTTATCGTCAGTCTTATTTAAAAAAGGGATTGAGGAACAATGGGGCTCATAAGCCTCCAGAAGAGCATGGGGAAAAGAGAAGGTAGGAAAGAGGACAGTCGTTCCCCCGTGGGGTTTTAAAGACAAGCAAATTTTGTCTGAGGTTGCTTTGTTTAAGTTGCACAGATCGGTAAAAATAGAAGTTGTAACCTGAAGAAGGTTGGGATATGACCACAAGTGGGAGGCTCTACATTTTATAATTTATGATGATAAATGGGTGGAATAAATCAGTTGACCCTGGGCATGGGTACCGGGCCGACTCGAGCATTCTAATATGGCTGGGTGTGACTCTCACTTCCAGGGTTTGCTACCATCATCAAAATGATCACAGCAGGGGAAGATGTCAGGATGTATAGACTAGTATCTCCTGGTTTGGAATACCAATATTTGTGAAAATTCTATCCTATATATGCCTTATTTTTTCAAAAGACATGAGTTTAAAAATGTGTTTCTCCCCCCTCCCTATTGTCACGCTATAATTTAGTACTGAAATAGCAATCTTCCCAGCATATCTAATGAGTTTCTTTGGTCCTATTTTAAAGCTTTTAATCTTCATAAATAATAGCTAAGTAAACTTAAGGCGCTTGGACAATTTCTTTAGCTTAATGTATTCAAATCCACAGTGGGACTTCATTTCTTTTTATTTAAAAATAAATCTATCTTGTCTCGATAGGCTCTACATGAATACACACACCTAACAATATAAATCAAAGCAACACATCCAGAATGATGAGATCTACTTGTTACCTTTAGAAGAAACACACCATTTTCAGAAATGTCTCAAAAAATTCTTTTTTGATAAAGTCAATATATAGTCTTAAAATAATTCACAACCATACAGTAGTTGCATAAGGATTTTCGAACACAGATGAGAAACATTTTTTCAAGAGGATTTCCATAAACACATGAGAAACTATTTAATATTTTGAGAGTTTTTCCTTCAGAAGAGAAGTTTCCTAACAACTGTACCTAATAGGTGATCTTATGTGCGTGGCTTCCCATTTATACTTCCAAGACTTCCAGAGTCACATTTAAATTTTGGAGAAAACTGAGAAAATATTAACTATGACACCAATTTTGGCAACTTTAAAAGCAGAGTTCTGTAGATAATGGTCCTTCTATCCAACATCTCCACATTAATTACAAAAGTGAAAAACAAAAGAAAGAGACATGAAAATCCAACCAAAACATCCCCTAATAAAAAAAAAAAGCTACATACCTTGGAAACCAACTGAGAATCCCAACTGAAACAAAAAACTGCATCTAAATAATAGTAAGATTCCAAAACTTGCTATTTTTAGGAATTAAAAACAAAGACTTACTTGCTTTGTTTTTCCATGCTTGCTACCCTGAGGCATTCCCATCTTGAATTTAGGAGATTCATTTGTTCTTGTACTTCACTTTCTTCATCTTCTAATAACTTCCCTATTCCAATCAGTTGACTTCCCAGTTGCAGAACATTACCAACCCGTCCCTGATGGGATGTCAAATCCATCATGAACCCCTGACAGGGAAAGAAGGTGACACAAGTTGATACTTTAGGTCAATCCTTATGGTTTTGAATTTTATTTTTTTGCAATTTTAAATGTGTAGCCCAGTTAAATTATATTCCCAGTAAAATTATTTCATTTTTTATTTAAGAAAACCCAACATTGTTTTTAATTTGAATTAAGGGCAATTATTAGCTTCAGTCACCTTCTGCAGAAGCAGATCCTGAGATAGGGATTTGTGTGCAAGTGACTTACTAAGTCAAAGCTCCTGGAGAGACAAGCAAAGGAGCCAAAGTAGCAGAAAACAGGACAGGAAAGGAGCGGAAAGCAAGTGAGTGTGTCATTTCAGGAACAGTCTCCCACTGCAAGTAGTGTGGCCTGATATCACACAGGTACTCTGGAGTGTAAGTTATATCTTAGCACTGCCTTGACTCAAGAAAAGTGAGCTAGGCTCTCATATCCCTGCAATGAGTCACTGGCAAAAATCAGATCTCAGGAACTTCAAGTGTCATTCTTCAAGGCAGAACTTCAAATGTTGGCTGGTGGAATCCCATGCCCATAAACATTTGTTTCCATCTCAAAATAAAAACTAAATTACCAAAACACAAAGATCTTATAGAGTAATTGAGATAACAAGAGAGACTTGCCATAATGACAAGTCATGAGCTTTGTTTCATAAATCAATGTTTTGCTTTACCTCATGAGTATGAAATTGTTCTTTCACTTCTTCTACATCATTAGAAATCTCTCCTTGGGCTTGCAATGTGTCCTCAGCTGAAAGAAGCCATGAGAGTACTTCTTCTAAAGCTGTTTGGTAACTGTCCAGGTTTACTTCAGTCTCCATTAATGAACGGCCAAATGACTTGTCTTCAGGAGCTTCCAAACGCTGAACAATAAAATAAATTGGGTGTTATACAATTAGTATCTCTGCAGACTGTTCCAGTATATTACATAATAAATCAAATGAAATATTTAAAATGCTAGAAATGTCCACTTGCATTATCAGAGACATGAACCGCAGACACATACAAGAGCAAGTCTGCATTTTAACATCTCACAAATATACACACAAATTCTCAAATGGCAGTTGAAATCTACTTCAAATTAATATTTTATTAAAGCTTTTCTGGATTACTATAAGGAGTGAATTAATACATCATCTCATCATGTTGTATTTTAAACACTACTAATTTTCACCCATAGGTAACTTTTTTCATTTCATATTTTCATTCATTTACATATATACATTATTGGTATTATATGTACATACTTTTGCAATGGCACTAAAGGAAACATCTCTTCCCAAGAGGTGGGAATGAAATATTTCTGAAGATTTAAAGAGCAGAAAAGTTATCAGTATGAAAATTAGTGGGTGAAGAAGGTAAAATTTAAAGAGAAATAGCTCATTCACACATCTGAAATTTTTAGTAGTATGATGACTTCTATAAATTAAACTCTTATTTCCAGAAGCTCATGGTTTCAGTAGCAAGACATCATCTTAGGAGAAGTAAAATATGAAGTATTCACTTCCACATTTCATTAGCAGGATGTTAAGTAAGACTCCCAACAGTTGTCTTGAAACTCTTATTTTCTCTTGAAACCATAAAGCTGAGAACAACAGGGACAAAGTGGCCATGACTCTAAAGAGAAGATCCAGGCCACCTCTGAAGGTGCTGCCAAAAGGGGACCAGTTTTCTGGTCCCACCAACCTCAATCCACTACCTAGCTCAAAGTTGTAGAAGAAGCATGGAGACTGACTGGAGCAAACTAATGAGAAGACATTCCTGTGGACTAGCTAGAGCACTTATGCATATCTGTACCTTCTCCCCTCCTTAAGTCAAGTAATGGAGACTTTGGAAGAATCACCTGGAGAGGGTAGGGTAGTTTCCAGGATGGAATACTGACCTCTAAACCTGGCTGTATGTCAGCAGGGATTCCCAAACTATGGAACCAGTACTACCAAGTGACAGGAGAGAACTCTTGGGATAACCTCTGTGTCTGGTGCTTTAATATGAGGGCAATTGTCAATGGTCAGAATTTAAGAAAATAAAATCTGCATGAATTTTTCCTTGGGTCAAATACACTCATGGTAGGTGGCTGGGCTTCAAAAATCCTAAGGAAGAACGCATTCAAGAGGGTTTCCTGCTGACGTAAGGGACAGAGACAAACTGATGACATAGTTAAGCAGAGCAAAATTATTAGAGAAACATTTGGAGAGAAATCTTCTCTACCCCCCAAAGATAGCAAGTAAGCACTGGGCCCTAAAAAACAGGGTTCTACAAAGGAAACAAAAGGCAGGATAGAACAACCAGAAGCTACTTGGAAGACTGCATGATCGTGCCTAGGAAAAAGATCCATCCCTTTGATGGGTTTCCTCTGACATGTATGCCTTGAATTTCTAGTTCCTCCCAACGATGGGACTTATCCCACTGAGCTGCCTGCACCAATCTAATTGTGCTCTTCTGATAAATGCTCCAACTTTAAAACTTTATTATTATAAATTTCTTCAACTATTAAGTCCTTTAAGATGAAAAGACATAGGGGCAGTGTGTGGTGTGGTATTTTCATCAAGTGATGCACTCTGCATCTGTTTCTAGAGAACTGACAGAAATATGTCATCCTAAGTCAAAAGCACCCAACTCTACTATCTCTCACAGAGCATATCCTGAGAGAGCTATCTGCATGGGCCCACCTCAAGGTCAAGGCAAATTTCTGAAGGTCTTAGGGGTCTGAACAAATTCCATGATGTATCTCTTTACTCCACCCCTAATTACTATTAATAATAAATGTCAAAGTCATCATTAAAAGGAGAAAAGTCACAAAAAGGTAGCCTGAGACATGTATATAGACAGGACCAGCTTCATGTTGTGCAATCTGAGCAGCTGTACGGTGCCCCGAGACTCAAAAGGACACCTTGCTTGTTTTATCTGCTTCTTGACATTGCCACCTTAAAATCCTTAATAATTTTATCCCTGAAGTGGGCAATATAATAGTGAAGTCCAATAAGGTGACAAAGTGTGCACGTGTGCAGAGGAAATAAGTACAATATGTGTGTTCACCCCCATTTGCATATAGTGTTGCTGATGTTCCATGAGTAGAGAATGCTGGTGGACACACAGTATATGGGGATTTACCAACACTAGAGGCGAGTGCAAGGTTAAGTACATCTATGAATGAGTGAGGGCACTAACAGCTCCAGGAACTTGCACTTTCTATGTGAACCAGAACTTGCTTCCAATGCAGAAAGAAGGCAGTTCCAAGAAAACATGAACAACCAAAGAGTCCTTCAATGTCCTTTCTTACTCGTATTTCTTTCCCGTATTAGCCAACCATTTAGGCTGAAATTCATGACAGAGAAAGAAAGGGAAAGGGCAACCCATAGTTCCTTGTCCTTTTGATCCTCCCTCATCTGAACACTGAAGGTAGACAATATTAGTAGAATGCGCACCTATCAAGAAGCGAAATAAAAACAGCTAAGTTAGTTGTGCAGCATTTCCACATTAAGAATGAAATACATAGGCACATATAAGCTACAAAATACAAATTGTGTAGTGTTGGTGATTCCGCATGAGTTACATGGTCTTATATTTGCATTTACAACTGCAATTGCACAATATAACAATGAGCAGTAAAACTCATGCTAATACTTTAAAATTCTAATTTTCTTTATTCAGTCTGAAGTTAAACAGCAAATAAAAAACACAAGGGGAAGTCAAGAAAGAGAGACCCATGGAATAAAGGAAATAGTTTTATATTTTAATTTTAACAGCACTTTCCTTCCTGCTTTTTGAACAAGGGGCTCTGTATTTCATTTTCCACTGTGCTGCATATTGTGCATCCAGCCCTGCGAATAGGTTAAAAAAAAAGTGCAATTCAATCGTGGATATTTTGGTTCCTCTGGGTTACAGGTGAGAGGAGATGGGTGCTTTATTATCATGTACAGTAGAATGTGGGTGTAAAACCCAGGGGCTTGGGAGGTAGTCAGTGTTTGAATCTTTTTTTTTTTTTAAAGATTTTATTTATTTATTTGACAGAGACACAGCGAGAGAGGGAACACAAGCAGGGGGAGTGGGAGAGGGAGAAGCAGGCTTCCTGCCAAGCAGGGAGCCCGATGAGGGGTTCGAGCCCGGGACCCTGGGATCATGACCTGAGCCGAAGGCAGACGCTTAACGACTGAGCCACCCAGGCACCCTCAGTGTTTGAATCTTGACCCTGGCCTGAGGTCTTGTTACCCTGGGAAGGTTACTTAGCCCCATCATTAGCCTTAGTTTCCTCCTATGCAGAACAGGAGCAATAATACTTTCCTAATAAGACTGTGGTACGAATTGAAGAATGGTATATAAAGTATTTAGCAGAATGCCTGACCTTGTGCAAGAACCCAATAAAGTGCGTGATAACTGTAATTATTTTTGGTTTCTTATATACGTAAGAACCATTATGGGACACAACCTGCTCCAATATTATTTTCTCAAGTCACTGGTCAGACTGCAAAAGCCAGAAAATTATTGTAGAAAAAAAATGATCTGAAAAACTTCTAAGAGTAAACATCAATTAAATCGAACCTTTCTGAAACTTGAACATCAACCTAGTTCCTACATAAAAGTTCTAAAAATCATTAATAATCTTGATTTCAAATTATCTTCTCAAAATGGTCAACTGTAAACAACACTATTACTCAAATAACACAACACTACATTTTCCCAGTGTACAATTTGGATTAGAAAAGTAAACACTCCCATCGAGAGATAAGTGGATAAAGAAGATGTGACATATATACACAATGGAATATCACTCAGGCATAAAAGAGGAGGAAATCTTGCCACTTGTGACAACACAGATGGACCTAGAGGGCATTATGCTAAGTGAAATAAGTCAGAGAAAGACAAATACCCTATGACTTCACTTATATGTGGAATCTAAAAAACAAAACAGAAACAGACTCATAAATACAGAAAACACACTGGTGGTTGTCGGGGGAGGGGATGGGTGAAATAGATGAAGAGGATGAACAGGTACAAACTTCCAGTTATAAAATGCATAAGTCATGGGGATGTAAAGTACAGCATAGGGAATACAGTCAATAATACTGTAATAACCCTGGTGACAGACGGTAACTATGGTGATCACTTCATAATGTATATAAATGTCAAATCACTAGTCGTACACCTGAAACTAGCATAATATTGTATGCCAACTATGCTTCAATAGAAATAAAATAAATAAAATAAACACTTCATGATTTACTGATATTTACAGAGGCTTGAAATTTTGGAGACAATTTTAAAAGGCAAATCTTTATAGTCAAGGACATGGTGTCTAGTACTCATAAATTCTGAATCTAAAAGTTTTGTCAGAGGATGTTCATAAAACACAAACATTGCAAAGACAGCCTTATTAAAGCTAAATTCAAACATGAATAAGCTGTATAAAATAACACAAATAACTCAGTTAATCATTATTTACATCCATAAATTCAACTCTACATATATAGATGATTATGGTCAAAATTGTCAGCTGGGGTCTGGGTAATTCTTTCTTTGTCTAGACCACTATTTTTCAAATTTGTTAGTCATGATCCATCAGTGATTCATGAAATCATTTTAGTGGGGCATGATCAGAAATATTTAATGGGTCATGACCAGGAATATTCTATTTAAAATTAAATAAATAATATTAGTCTATGTCATTTATGTTAAGGATTAATATTGTTTTGTGAATTTTTGTTTCAGATATGCCTATCTATGTATCTATGTGTACATATATATATTCTGGATCAAGATGAAAAAACCATTTTCTGTAGTTCATGAAACAAAATTGGAAACAGTTCTAGAATTTCAGTACAGGAAAACCCATGATAGAAGAAATGTACTTAAATTTCACATTTGC